AAGATAAACTATTCTAGACATCATAAAAGAAATGAACCTGAAGCATTAAAGTCATCTTTGATCTGAAGTTTAAGTCTATTTATTTTTTCAATAAAATTTTAATGTAAATAGTGAGAATTTTTCTTTCCTAAAATATATACACAGACACTCACAAAATAATTTTTAAACTTCATCTTTTTCAAACTCTGATGAAAAAACATTTGAAAAAGTAAAAAAAAAAAATTGTTTAAAACTAAGTATAATCAATTATGGTGTGTTTGTATTATGGTGTGTTTGTAATAAATTATATGTAAAATTTGACCTATAATCAATTATGGTTGAAGTATAGTCGGTTATAAAGTGTCTCTCTTAATAATGTATTATGGAAACCTCAATCAATATCATCCATGTTTATGTGAAACTTTTTTAATTTGAATTTGCATAATCGATTATAAAATTTCCATAATCAATTATAGATTAAATTTGATATTTTTTAATATGTTTCATTTTTTGTGAATTTATTATGTAAGAAGTTATTGTGCTCATTTTGAAAAACACATAGGCAATATAAAAAGCACATTCTCTTCTTTTCTTACCCAATTTTTATATTTTTAAACATATTAGTTATGCTTTAGTATTGAGAGTTAAATTTATTATTACAAATAATATATTTTATAATAAAACTTATATCTCATTCAATAAAAAATCGAGGAATAATATCAAGGTGTGCTATATTTTAAAAAAAAAATCATATATTCTCTTAATTTCTGAATATAATCGAGAAAAAAAATAATTCAAGACATGCTTCGAAGCCCATCAAATACAATTTATATTTTTAATTCTTTAAAAGTAGTGTATTTTTTTTTTACTTTTTTTTTATTAAAATTAATGATCTATTCCTTCATATTCTGTAATAACTGAGAAATTAGATAATTAGATTTTACTATAAAAACACTCGTTAATCAAATTTTATCCTAAATCTAACTTATACGTAGCCTTTTCAAATGCATCAATCTTTGGGATGACTTGCAACATGGAAAAAAATCTTCAATATTTTATGTTATATGTTGTTCTTCTATCTTAAACAAAATATTTTTCTACACTTGCAATCTATCTCACATAATAGTGTTGATATTGTTGTTGTATTTTAGGAATAACCTTTCTAGGTTGTCAATCAAAGAAAACACTCCATAATTCATTGTTTTCCTCAATTGACAACATTGAGAAATTTATTCCTAAAATGCTATAAATTGCAAACAATTGCACCACACAAAAAATGGTGAATTGTAAAAAATTGAAAAGGAAACAAGACATGTTTCTTTTAATTTTTATCATTCACCATTTTTTACAAGTAATATATTACATCGAATTTTTTATAAAACTGAGGGGAAAGTCCTTATTTTATTTTATCTTTTAATTAATGTAACAACACTCAAGATATTGTCAACACATCAATCCACAAGAAACTATCTACATCCACCACTATATATCATGTTCTCTTTCTTGTTAAACCATTTGCCGTGAAAGCGTTTGTGCAAGATAATGAAATCTTGAAACAAATTTCTGGGATGAATTGCAAGTGCAGAAAAAATTTCCCATGATTGGAACAGATAACTGTCGTACAAAGAAAAATACGATCCTTCGCGATGGACGCGGAAAAATTTAGCTCGAACAAAGTCGCCGAACAACTTTATTTATCCCAATGAAGGAATAGGAAAATATCGATAAAACCTTTAGAGTAGAAAAACGATCATCGCAATCAAATTCAGGTTCGGGAGTCGATTACTCAACGGGAAGGTATTAGCACCTCTCACGTTCGTTGTTGTCGCACCTCAGAAAATACGATATGACATTCGCGATGGGACATGGAAAAAGTTTGTTCGAATAGAGTCGTCACCGAACTTTATTCATTCCAATGAAGGAATAGGAAAATATAGAGAAAACCTTTAAGAGATAAAAACACGGTCATCACAATCAAATTCTAGATTCGGGAGTCGATTACGTAAAGGGAATGTATTAGCACCCCTCACGTCCATTGTACTCAACGGAAACCTCTTAGTTCAATTTGTGATGAATGTTAGCTAATTTTATTTGTTTTCTTCTAAGCGAGTGATGCGAAATGTATGAGAAAAGAGATTTGATTGCTAATGGGAAAATGAGTGGTTTTATTATATGGTGCTCGCCAAGGATTGGGGTCATTGTGTCTACGTATTCTCATTGTGAAATGAGAAATAAGGGCATCCGTAGTTCGGACTACGGGTAAAGGTTTGGATAAGAGAAAGTAAGGGTATGCAAAAGGCGGGAAAGGTGGAAAAAACAAAAGGTAGCTCGCCAAGGATTGGGGCCTTTGTGCTTATGTATCTTCATTCGGAAGAGAATGAAGAATCAGAACGTTCGTAGTTCATGGAATTACGGATTGTTGGTTTGTGTTTTTGAAACGAAAGATTGAATGGAAAACAACCCAATGCGTATGCCTCGAGAGCAGTTATTCAAGGATTCAAGAACTGTGAGACTCAAAGAATCCATTTCCTTCGTGATTTAATTAAGAAAAAGTTTCGGAAAGATTAAGTATTTTAAAGTCGAAAGATTGAATGAAAAATAATCCAAGGTGTGTGCCTCAAGAGCATTCATTCGAAGTTTTAAGGAATGTGAGACTCCAAGAACCTTCTTCTTTCATAATTTGATTGAGAAAAGGTTTTGAGGAATGATTGAATAGGATTTGAAAATGTTACTTGGCATTGGACCAAGGGTTTGCGAAAGAAGTAAGGTTAATCCTAGTCCCTAAAAGGACTCCTAGTAAACGAGACCACAACTAAAGAAAGGTGCAAGTGTGTGCATTAGGTTGATGGCGATGCTAAAAAACAATCGACTTACAATGGTGTTTTAAAAAAGGGCTCGACATTGAATCGAGAATTAGTTTGAAAATCATTTAGTCTATCCTAGTCCCTAAGGGTTCTCCTAGTAAATAAAACCACAATTAAAGATGAGCAAGAAAAGTAAAGAGCGTACATCCAAAAGGGAGCATGGTACATGTAAAGCACACGAGAGTGTGAGAAATAAATGGGGTCATTGTCAGGTAGCCCAAGAGAAAGCCGTGTATGTGCAAGGTGTCCTAAACGAAGCAGTAAACAAGAGTACAGACAAAAACTCATCCGCTAAGGTTTATGTACAAGGTCCAAATGAGATGATGGTATAACATCTGAGGGTTGATCCAGGGGATAAAATGGAGGAGGTGGATAAGACCAGGGAGGGGTGCTCATGCTATATTTGAGTTCCTATGGAAGCTCTACGAGGCTGAGATCCTGAAGGCATATCGGGCTCTTGGTGATATGATGAGCAGGTGGCGGTGCAGATGGCACATGCTTTGAGAGCATACTTTCTTTTTTTGGTTGATACTTGCATTTTGTGGGCAAGAGTGCAACTTATACTGACGTTACCTACTAACAGTACTTATTGGATCTCACTGGGATCCATGAGTACAACTAGCGGCTTGCCTGGTGTATCTGTATTCGAAGTCGAGAGATGGTTGTATGTGGAAGACGAAGCAGGTCACAAGCAGCGTGACACCACTGGTGATAATAATTCTTGATCCTTTAATGTTTTTTTTGTCATTTTCACTTCATATTTGTGAAACCATTATGATTCGTGTGTTCCAAACTTTTTTATTTCAGACTTGGATCCTCTAGCACTTCCCGCGCATCGCTGGCTGGGCGAGTGTGCCTGAGTACACTAAGGATATGCCGCGTGCCTATGCTTTTATCCCGCTGAAAGGGAACCAGGCAGTCAAACCTTTCAGAGTATATTTAAATGTTTGGTTGTTGAGGACATGCACTTCAACAGTTACGTAGAACACCGTCAAACGCAATCATTTGACGATATAATTCTATATTATGGATGGTTAGCCCGCGGATCGTGAATCAATGCTCCTCATTTTCCCGAGCGCGTTATGTGGAAGTTTGGCTACACCTAGACCATTCCCAGACACCCTATTGTCTTTCTCCTTTTTCCTTGACACGTAGACAAATAGAAGAGATGTTTGATGATTATGAGAGTCATATGGTACTGAAGGAAGTACAGGCTACCATAGCCCCGAGTGACTGGAGCTACGTCGAAGGGTACATCAAATGGTTCTTCAGGGTGTCACATTCATACATGGTGCATGATGCTTTAGGAGATCCGTCAAGACCAGCTCACCAGGAGATACTAGAGGATGAACAGGCTCAGATAGATCATATTGATGATGTTTTGCCTAGGTGTCGTCGCGTAATAGAGATTGCACAAACAACATTGACGAGGGTATCTTCCCTGATGGGTCTGGTCTCAGCCGAGTCCTAAATACCATCATGGCAGAGCCACAAGGGCATTGTTGTACTAGAGACATCGCCAGAGGACAGGGGGATTAATGGTCGAAAAGGTAGAGCAGACAAAGGAGGTAGAAGAGATGTTGACGCACCCAATAATAGCCTCTTATTATTTTGTTGTACTATACTCTTTATTTTATTTTAAGGGACTTACTACATTTTGGGTCTCAATAGAATGACATTTTTTACATTTATTGATATTTTATTTTCGACAAGCACAATATTAGCCTCTTATTATTTTGTGCGTCTATTGCTTAATTTTGTATCATACGTTATATTTCATCTGAACACAAATACACAACATACAATACAAAATACATGTTCTAATACATTAGAAATATATATCTCCAAAATAGCCTTTGAATGTGTTGAATTAAATGTTTAAAAATGTTTCAGAGATGCATTTTTAAAATATTTTGTTTATTTAAAAAATAAATGCATCCAAGAATATATCTCTAAATACTAAAAGCATTTAAATAATTTCGCGTGTTGGCTAAGAAATACCAAGGATGCATTAAAAAATTCTCTTGAAATTTTTTTCTGCTTCACTATTCTAATTGGGCTATTATTCCTCCTAGACTAAGGCCCAACTTAAAAGTCATCACAATCCTAGAAATACAGAGGAAACAAATAATAGATACAAAAAATACAAGATGAGTTTTACGATTTTAACCTTACTACACTGTGCTCATTGTCGACGAAGACCTTAACGCCTCTTCTCCTCAAAGCATCAACAACCGTCCAAACCTCTACTCCAGTATCCACACTTTTCTTCTCAATCTCCTTCTCAACATCCATGTAAACCCCACCTCCAACTCCAATCTCCGGCTCCTCCGTCTTCAGCCTCATCGCCAACACCTCACCAACACAACCCGCCGCTTTCTTGTCACAATTCTTCCCCAGTTCGAACGCGTCGCTTATCGATTTCTCCACGGTGGATGCACTCGCCACCACCCTCTTATGATTCCAATCCACCACATTCGCCGTCATGTGCTTAGCAGATACATACACCTTCAAAACAAACCTCCTCGCCATTGATCCTCCTTGAGCCCAAATTATCCAATATATACAAAACGGGCCTTTCCTGACCCTGACCAGGCCCAGTCCCAGGCCCAGGTCCAATATCCTTCCACTACACCACTCTAGAAAAAACAAGATACTATTACAATCATATCCCTTACCGCTTCAGTTTTATTGATACCAATGGCATCAACCATTATTAGAGTGATTCAAACGCAACCCAGATTCATTTCTAATTGGAACAATTCTATTTCTAATAACACTTCTTCTAGAATCTTCCATCTCCGTCGTAATCCTCAACATCCAATTTCTATTATGGCGAGTTCTAAAGACTCATCTTCAACCAAAACGGTGCGAATTACAGAGACTTGTTAATTAATTTATTTATTTATGGTGATTGATTAATGTAATTGTTAAAATTTTTTTTTGTAGGAGAGAGTGGTGATAAAGGGGAGGGTGCAGGGAGTATTTTACAGGAATTGGACAGTGGATAATGCTAAGGAATTGGGGCTAAAGGGATGGGTTCGAAACCGGAAGGATGGGTCTGTGGAGGCTCTGTTTTCCGGTAGTTTTGATGCGGTGAAGGAAATGGAGCAGAGGTGTCGTCGCGGTCCATCCGAAGCTATTGTCACTGGGCTTGAGGTTTTCCCTTGTGGTGATGAGGATGATCCTGGTACTGGTTTCCAACGCAAACCAACTGTTTGATTTTATTCTTCAACCAATTCTCGTAATTGTGAGTTGTGACATTTAATTTACCTTAATCTGCATAATCTCTACATTGTTATGTCTGTTTGGAAATACTTGTTTTTACTGTAATGTTGGATTGCTGTAGTGTAATTCTATTTGATAGGATTCATGTAGAGTTCATGTAGAGTGAGAGTAATTAAAGTAACATGTTCTATCTAACTCAGGTAGTGATCTCAAAAAATTGAATAATTAAATGTAGTCATATGTTAAAATGTCGTCCCAATCTTGGCACATGTTAGACACTTAGTAGTTTAATGATTGAAATTTTACCTTTTAAATGTGAATAAGTGAGATTTCATTAGTTTGAATCCATTCATTTGTAGTCGAATGTTCATATATAGTAATCAATTGAGCTGATTTAATTGAATATAATCTTAGTTTTATCCTATAAAACAATGTAATATTTGACTGGATTGAAATGGGGAAATGATGCTGGCAAATTTTCATGTTTAGGATTTTGATATCATAATTTTTACGTTATTCTAATTTCTATGAAAAATAGCAAAAACGTATTCGGATCCATAGCGTCGATTCTTGTCCGAGTATTGATCTTGTTTTTAATTGTTCTCTCCTCTCTTCTTTCTTTCTTTTGTCTATCTTTGATGATAAAGATACTTTTGTGTATTTGTGAGAAAAATGAGAAGGAATGATAAAGGTAATGTTGTTTTTATAAAGGTCTTTATTTATAAGCTCTTACTTCAACAACTATGTTTCATCTCAAGAGTCATGTTCTAACATCCATAAAGGTTTGATTTCAAGTTAAAACCTTCATTGACTTAATTATCCATCCTCTCAAATAATCATTACATTAGACGATTCTTCATTTAAGTCAAACTTTTAATTTCATGAGTCATAATTATTGAATTAATAAATTAATACAATAGTATCTCTTATATCATAATTGTGCACCATTTATTAAAAGCACCAAGTCATTAGCTTTAATGAATTGAAATGATCAGATTATGGCAGTCAAAAATTAATATTATGGATCCAGGTACGTTTTTAATGTTTATCATAGAAATCAGAATAGTGGGAAACTCATGATATCAAGACCCTAAAGAAAATTTGCAGGATGTGTGAATTCAAGAAAATCCACATTTGGGGATGTTTTTCTTCTTGCTGGAGGAGTAATATTATGAAAGAGTATTTAAATTCTAAAATTACTAACAAATCAGTTGCGAAAAATTTATATGATATCTAGTATCCAAGATAAATCTATATGATATCTAGTATCCAAGATAAATCTATATGTTTAAATTTAAATAACTTTAAAGGATACAATAATGCGTCTTTTATGTTTTTACAAAGACACCATTGTCATCACATATTAATAATAATATCTATAATATAATATAGATAACAAAACTCAGCTAAAATATAACCTTAATTGAATTCACAAGTGTCATGTTATACATAAATTAAACTTTACATGTATATATACAAATTATATTATAATAGTAAGAAGAACTTTTACATAATGTCAATCCTTTCTACATGACCAACAAATATCTTGGGTGGTAAATTTTTAGTTAACAGATCCGCTATCATTATATTTATACCAATATGTTTAAATGACATTTTTTTTTAATTCTGCAACTGTTGTCTTTTTTAAGAATGATAAACATTTCAAAGGTGCTAAAGGAAATTGAAGTACTTATTAGTGAAAGAAGAAGTACAAAAACAAAAAGTGCCATTTGAACGTATTGGTACATATTTAATGATAGCAGATCCGTTACCGTCCAAGATATTTGTTGGCCATGTAGAAAAGATGTGCATTATGTAAAAGTCTTTGTTAACATTATAATATGATTTGTATATATAAATGTAAAGTTTAATGTTCGTATTATATGACATTTGTGAATTCAATTAATGTTATGTTTTAGTCGAGTTTTGTTATCCATATTATGTTATATATATTATTATTAATATGTGATGACAAATGTGCCTTTGTAGAGACATAAAATACACATTCTTGTATCCCTTAAAGTTATTTGAATTGGAACATATAAATTGATCTTAAATACTGAATATCATATAGATTTGAAAAGTTATCTTTATGTACTTGAATGTGCTAGGAATTTAATTTTTGTTGAAAAATTGGATGAATTGAATTTTAATTTTAAGATTAGAAACAATGTATTTTCTTTATTTAAAAGTTCATACTACAAATGGATGATAGATTGATAATAGTTAATTCATTGGAGTACATGTTAAGCTCATTTTGGTGTTGCATGTTAGGTTGAATATTAGGGTGAAAGTTAATTCAGATAGCCAATTTCACATAATGGAATAAGACTTAGTTGTGTTGTATATTAAACTGAGTGCGATTCATTTTTTTGTACCATTAGATGACAAAGGCTTTCCTAAATCAATCTTAAACCCATTACACTGCATTTTCTTCTCATCTCCCCCAACCGTCTTAGTCGTTGCTTACTTGATAACTATATTGTTTCTCCATCCTCACTGAATAAATGGTAACCTACGTGGTTCAACATACTATTGTTGAATCAAACACCATTTGACAACAAAATTTTCCTGTTGTACTTCTAAACCAGTCCCAAAAAGACTTGTGCATTCTTCATTAAAACATTTTTTGTGTTGATTCAAAGAGAAAATGTGATAACTAAATGCAAAGAAGACATTTCAGATGACCAATCTTCCACAAAATAGAAGTAAAACAATAAGAGAAATGTATATTTATTTGCTAGAATAAATACAATTGAAGAAATTTAAGATGATTGATTGCAACCCAACTTGTAACTATTACAAGTATTAGATACAACCTTTATTTTTATGTTCGACTTAAGATTTATATAGTTTATTTTTAGTGATTACAAGTTGCTTGTTACCATCGTCTTTAAGACAAGTTAAAAGAAAATGTTATTGCTATGAGTAGAACCATCCTAATTTAAACATAATATTAATCATAACATGAACTAACAATTTATAACAAAATTTTAAACCAATTTTTACATATATTTTAATTTTGGGCACGCCAAATTTTTTCCTCAAGATCCATATTGGCTGCGATCTTCTCACGTCTATTACCTAATTCAACTCTAATCTTCTTCTTCCTCTTTACTAATCCTTTATTTGCCTTAAGAATGGTGGATGTTGATGAATCATCATTAGCCTTCAAGAATCAACCATCATCCAAGTCACCAATTCTCTTTTTAGAAGCTCATTATCTTCAAATTCTTTTGATCCAAACTCTCAAACAAGTTGTAAGATAACAATTTTCTATTATGGAATTAACAAGTTGAAGGTGTGATTCTACACACAAACTTGAATAAGCACAAGACAATGGTGTGAAAAGTTACGTCAAACACTTTTTCACTTTGGTTTTGTGTCAAGCATGTGTAACCATTCTTAGTTCATATATTCTAATTAAGGAGTTATTCTATACGCATGAGTTTATGTTGATGGAGTATTGATTACTAGTTCATCTCCTAAGCTAGTTCATGACTTAATCAACAATCTATATCTCAAATTTGCTTTAAAGAAATTGGAAAAACATGACTATTTCTTTACGCATATAGGTAAAATACCATGCTCATGGCTGCATTCTCTTGTCCTAGACTAAGTATTTCAATGACCTACTAGCAAGAGCCAAGACGAACAATGCTAATGGAGTTCCTATCCTAATATTAAGCAACCACAAATTCAACAAGTATGACTAAGATACATTCTCTAATCCTCACCATTACATGTCCATTGGAGGTGCCTTGTAGTATGTGACACTTACTAGGCTATATCTCACAATATGAACAAAGCTTTTTGATTTATGTCTTGTCCACTCACTTCTCATTGTTGTTGTAATATGCCTTAAAATCTCAAGGAGAAAAGAGTAAGAAAAAAGATATATTTAAGCACGGACAGATTTTCAGGCTTGTTCATATATCATTTATTAATGAATCATATTTTAAATCCGTAATTGTTTTGTTAGCTATTAATATGAGTTTTCTTTCATTTGCTAGAAACACGTTGCATAAGGTAGAAATTCTAGTGTGAAGAAAAGAGTAAAATTCTTTAGAATTATATTTTAGGATTTGAAAACACTTTAGGCACCTTGAGTTTGGGTGATTCTTATGAGACTTTGAGAGATTGAAAAACATTTTGGGGGTAGAAATTAGGATTTTTTATTGGGAACTTCAAAGGCTATTTTCTTGTAATTAATACTATAATCTCTTGTAACTATTTTTGAAGTATAGTTAATTAGAGAGCTTCTAGAACCTTTAGACGTAGATCGATTTGATTAAACTAGATAA